GGGGGGAGGTGGGTAACATTTGTGGCTTCTTTACTGGCTGGAAGATGAGCAGATGATTGCAGAGATGAGAACCGGTGAGTCTGACTTCCAACCTTTCCTTTACAATAACGAGTATTTGTAAATTTGAAGGCATGTAGGTTTTATGAGAACCTTTTTGAAACTAACTGAGTGGGAGAATGAGCTGTCCATTATTACTGACCCGCCTTGGTGTAAGCTTCTCTGGAATCTTGGGAGGTTCTTGCATTGCAGAAGGCATTGTGCTGAACTGAGGGATTCTTGGAGCGGCAACTGCCGAAGAGGTCTTCTGTTTCATAAAACAGGGTGAAGTGAAAAATAGTCAGAGGAGGAAAAGAGGAGGGTGGAGCAGAAAATGGAGAAGAGGAAGAAAAGAAGAGGTTAAAAGAGGGAATATTGTATTTCGTGCATCGGGAAATGTATTATCTAGGAAGGTTTAGGTGGCTGTACAATCAGGGAAGAGATTTTCGCCGAGATACTTCTCTCCCCGCCCCTCCTCCCTCACTGAAATACATTTAGTGATACACGACATACAAGATTCAGGGCTCCTGGACCCAGTTTCCAGCAGGTGCTGCTTCCCATCAATAGAAAGGAGCTTGGGTTAAACATTAAAAAAAAAAAAGGAGCTTGAGTTGAAAAAGAAAAGAAGAAGATTGTTTCAGGGAATCTTGTCTTCTACTATTTCGTAGATTTGTTACGATCCTGGTCATTTCCAAAGTGCAAATTCACAATGAAAGACAATGCCACCCAATTGCGAAGGAAATGAAAGCACTTGCAAAGAGATAAAGACCAGAGAAGAAAGAAAGAAGAAGAAGAAGAAGAAGAAGAAGAAGAAGAAGAAGAAGAAGAAGAAGAAGAAGAAGAAGAAGAAGAAGAAGATGTACACCAGCAAGACCAATGACAATTCCCCCTTCTCTCTCCACCTTCCTCTTTCTCCTTCACTTCGCCAATCTTATTCTTCTCTCAACAATAATAATAACAATGAATGGATGAACCAGAATCAATATCCGAAGTTCCCTCTTACTGCTGACTCAACAACAACAACAACAAGTCCGCCATAGCTATGGCTTCCCTACGATGGTTCTGGATTCGCGAATTGACACTAATGAAAGGGGGGGAAATAAAAAAACGAAAGGTAACCCCAGCGAACCTTCCCGAATCTTCTTCCTGGCGACGCCAGAAAAAAGAAAGGCGCAGAGTCGCAGACAGCAAAAATCGCCGTGACAGCGGTGCCCTGACGGTACCGCCCACCGCTGGTTTCTTGTGGGCCCGGCGGGGGGCGTGAGTCTGGGCCCACTCCACACTTTAGAAGGTATGGGAATATGGGACCAGGGAAGAACATCCTGCTACTGCTAAGCTTCGTTGAGAAGATCAGGAACCTCCAAGGCTGGGTACTCTTCCTGCTCTGCGTGCCTCATTTCTGAGACACCTTATTGCCCAGAATGTCCCAATGACAGCTGCAACTTACTGTCGGGGAGGGAGCTACTTTCCGTTTCACACCACTGTAGTCACAATCAGCTATTTCAATTGGAGAGCAGAAAAACTGAAAAAGTGCGCAAAACATATGCAAGAAAAAAAAAAACAAAAAACAATGGCCTTACACTTCCTTTGAAACACAAGAAACCATTGAGTAAATCAATTTTACACACACGTGTTCCTAGAACTCAGGTCGCACACTTTCCTCGACTCTGCGTTTCAACCGTCTACGGCATGGTCATCCTCAGGAGGCTCGCCTCCATACCTAAGCCTTGCTGAGTGCAAAAACATACGAGAACTTTTGAGAATAGGCGCCTAATGGGAGTACTTAGAATGGGTCACATGGCAGCACGAGGCGGCTCCGGGAGTTGTGTTTCGGGTGCAGCAGAGCGTGGGACCTCAAGGGGATTGGCTTAGCACGGACATGTATGAAATAGAGCAACGAGGGGCTACCGCCAGCAAATTAAACAGGGACTCGAGAACACCGGTCACGATCCAGCTGGGGGCGGTCCGTAACATGAGGGTGACTGAAACAGAGGACTTTACCATCTACAGCCCTGCCACAGCAGTGGAAGATCTCGAAGTACACCCAGTTGAGCGAGCATGGAATCTGAGAGGGGGACGGTTAAATATTTCGCGAAGAATCAGTTTGCTGCACCATACAATCCGCTTGGGCTACGAGTTGAGGAGGCGTGCTTATCCACTGGAGGAATCACTTGTGAAACGGTGGGAAGATAGGATGCGGGTGGGTCTGGCACAATGACTCGGCATACCATGGTCTCTACTCCACACCATCCGACTCGGAAAGATAAGATGCATACGGTGGCTGATTTTTCATGTAGACATGCTGGTCAACACACGGTGTCGGGCGGCTCCAGCCCTACGCCGCCCTTTACTTCCTTTATGAAGGCACGCAACAAGAGACAACGGGTAACAGCGCGCGGGAGCAGGGAGCATAGAGACGTAGTCTGTACGGATGCGGCCAAAGAGACAGTGGTACATTGCCTGATGAACTGCCATAATGTAGCTCAAATACGGAACATGGCCAGAGATCTGTGGACCCGGATCTCAGATTCCCTATTCCAAGAAGGGACAGTTCCTCTATTGACAGGAACGCCCTCCCTCGCACATGGAGAGGTTTTGAGAAGAGAATCTTCCAATTGCTGAGACAATATGGCATGTGGACCATATGGAAGAGAATGTGCCAGCAAACGATTGACAAGAGGCACCTGCCTATCCAGGAAGCTGGAGACATATTCAAGAGCCTCCTGGAAACAAACATAAGGGCCCAATGGGACAAGGTGCAGCGAAAGATCCGACAGAACCCAGCAGAGGCTCAGGAACTCAAAAAGAGATTTGAACAAGCAGTCCTCGGACAAGGAAAGGTGGCAATCATTGGTGCACATCGGTTGCTATTCAAATGGGGGGTTACCTCACCCAGTACATTTGGACCAAAGGAGAGGCAGCAGCAGTGGAGAACAGGGACAGGACATACGAAGTACACAAGAGGACTAGGGGTTCCCAGAACCTCGGGCTGAGGGCGTTGAATGGGGGGTTACCTCACCCAGTACATTTGGACCAAAGGAGAGGCACCCTCTTGTTTCTACCACAGGACATACGAAGTACAAAAACCAGGGAAAGGGTTAAGGTACAGGAAGGCGGGATGTTAGGGTTAGGGTTTAAACAGGAACTGTTTGGCTGTTAGCCCAAGGTTAGGTACGAAGGCGGAAGGTAATCTCGGAAGTTTAGAACTAAGGGTACGTCTTATCCTTCGCCCAGTTGGAGGGTCTAGGCTCGAAGTTTTGAGTTAGGGGTTAATGCAATTTGGGGGGCCCGGTTGTTATACACAAAGGGGATGGGTTGGGGTAGGGTTTAAGGTTCACGCAGAAATGGGGCGTAGCGGTGTCCTTGAACAAGGCTCGAGTAGACTCGCTTGGGTTTAGCCAAAATCAGACAGCCCTTGGGCTGAGAGGTCAAGCTGCAGAGCTCTCAATAAGCAAAGCCGGTAATGCTCCTTGTATTTCTGATGTAATTCTCTGTATAAGGGATGCAGGACCCAATTTCCAGCAGGTGAAAACTCCCCACTAATGAAACGGAGCCACCCACCAGAAGGTCTCGATCCCGTCGGTTCTTGTACCACCGCGGGACCGTAGAACTTCACCGGATGTTTTACACAAGAAACTCAAAACACCGATAGCGAGGAAAATGGGTGGGGTCAAGGATGACATATGGTCATCCGATAGGTCAGGAAGCACTTAAGGGACAGCAATTCTCATACCAAAGATCTCCAAGTTTTACAAGACTGGTTCAGTCATTGCAGCTGAAGCTGATATGGAAGAAGGAAGATGGAGCTGGATGAATCTGAAGTGGAAAGAAGAAGGAAGTAAGACTGATCAACATTTACGCTCCAATTTCCAACTGTCTTGGACCAAAGGGTATTCCTACAAATCATCCTGCCAGCATCACCATGCATAATTGCAGGAGATTGGAATGCAGCAACAGATCCAGCAAATGACAGTATATCTCGATCATCGACCTTCCAGCAATCCCAAGGAATCTGCCCTGATCCAAAAACTGTTGTTGGATTATGGCCTGGAGGAACTCCTGTAGACACTCTATCTGGACACAAGCGTCATCTCTTTGGTGACGAAAAATCATGCCGATCACACCGCATTATCAAGAATTGACTATTTCCCCGTATCTGGTTCCTTCATGGGTGCAATCAATGAAGCCGACATCCTCTCACTAGCATCATATAAGGGTCTTGACCACAAACCAGTAGAGATAATATTCAGTTTTGATCAATACATCAGAAAAGGTACAAGCTTTTTCAAACTGCACAACTCTTTATTGCTCAGTCAGTGATTTCAAGAAGGCATCTGAGATTGCCGGCAACAAGCAAAGGGAGAACCTCTACCCACTCAAGATAGATGGGAGTGGTTCCAGTTCTCTCTCATAAACAGCCTCAAGAATATCAAGGAGACTGGACAATGATAAAAACCAAAGAAAACAAGTTCTAGAGACAGCCCTCAATTCTCTCTCATAAACAGCCTCAAGAATATCAAGGAGACTGGACAATGATAGAAACCAAAGAAAACAAGTTATAGAGACAGCCCTCAAGATTGTGGAATCTAATTTGGCGCTCAACCCATCCTCGACCCTATACTCGACAGCATTTCAAGCAGCAAGGGAAGAGTTTTGAGTTTGCTTTATGGTGACCGTGGGAGCTAAAGGGGCTACAAATTAGAGCCAGAATGACAGACTACGACCTAAATGAGTCAATGACCAAATATTTCTTTGCCAGAAGCAAAACTACCAACAGATCCAACACAATTGGGGCATTGAAAGATTACAACAATCCTACAGTGGTCCATTCAGACAGCGAAGGAATGTTACAAGTAGCCAAATCATTCTATGCACCAAGCAAAGACACCATCTCCAACCCCATCCCACATCAAACAAGCCAGAACTAAGATGCTACAGCAGCTAAGATCGAACAATCTCACCCAAACACAAGCGGAAGCATGGGATGCGCCACTGACTATGGAAGAGCTATTGACCTACCATGACGGCACACTGACCTACCACGAGGGCACGGGTGCGCAGCCTGCAGTTTGTTTGTTGATGTGGCTGGGGAAGGGTAAGGTAGTGATTCTGCTGTGTATGTTTTGTCGGTGTGCACGTGTGTATGTGAGTGTGTGTGTATGTGTGTGTGTGTGTGTGTGTGTGTGTGTGTGTGTGTGTGTGTGTGTGTGTGTGTGTGTGT